GTAGTGGACAGCGAGGACTGTGAGTCAGAGTTCAGCCACCCCTCCTCACTCAGTGCTCCATCTACCCTGCCATGTGCTACACCCAGCGCTCCACCTACTCTGCCATGTGCTACACCCAGCGCTCCACCTACTCTGCCATGTGCTACACTCAGCGCTCCACCTACTCTGCCCTGTGCTACACCCAGTGCTCCACATACTCTGCCCTGTGCTACACCCAGCGCTCCACCTACTCTGCCACGTGCTACACCCAGCGCTCCACCTACTCTGCCACGTGCTACACTCAGCGCTCCACCTACTCTGCCACGCGCTACACCCAGCGCTCCACCTACTCTGCCACGTGCTACACCCAGCGCTCCACCTACTCTGCCATGTGCTACACCCAGCGCTCCACCTACTCTGCCATGTGCTACACCCAGCGTTCCACCTACTCTGCCATGTGCTACACCCAGCGCTCCACCTACTCTGCCCTGTGCTACACCCAGCGCTCCACCTACTCTGCCCTGTGCTGCACCCAGCGCTCCACCTACTCTGCCATGTGCTGCACCCAGCGCTCCACCTACTCTGCCCTGTGCTACACCCAGTGCTCCACCTACTCTGCCCTGTGCTACACCAGCTCCTCCATACATGCCACTGTGTTCCACCTCAGTAGCTTGATGTGAAATCCATCACCTGTTACAATAAGGTTGCTTTCTCTTGTTCAGGAAAATATACTTATGATGCAAATCTGTCTCCATTCATCTATCTTCCAACTACCTAAGGGTTCATGATATATGTTATGACAGGACAGGATAATTGATTTTTGATTCATGAAATCAGAAATATTAATGCAGGGTTGGTCATTAGTTGCATTTTTGTCTGGTTTTTGTGAAACCTGGAGCCACTAATATTGCCAAGCATGCATTAATCAATATGTAGAGAATGCTAACTGTAATGAGGTAGACAAAAATGTGAATACATCTTAGTATCTTATTATGTAATTTAAATCAGCTCTGTGTCAAAATAGATAATTAGTTAAACATTTAACATTACAAGTAACATATTCTGGCTTTTCCAAAAGCTATCACAGAACAGCAGCGGCTTCGTTTTAGCGTTATATGGGATAGCCGCATATCACAAAATAAAATGCTGTGTATGAACCAGCTGATTGAACATTGAGAATTTTATCATCAAGGACCCCCCCACACCCCATTGTGGTTTAATGCAAATTAGCATAATGCTAATTTGTTTAACTGGGTATTTGTAGAAGATGGATGGATGTGTAAATTAGGAGTTTTGCCATCCTGTTCATTTGACTTCTTCTGCCGCCCATTGGAGGTTGGGCTAACCCTCTGAGTCTAGTTCCTCCCAAGGTTTCTTCCTTCTAGGGAATTTTTCCTTGCCACTGTCACTTCTGGGTTTTCACACTGGGGGCTTTGGGCAGGGACAATGTAAAGAGCTTTGAGACAATGCAATGTTATGAAAATGCACTATACAAATAAAATTGAATTGAATTGAATTGAATTGAATTGAATTGAATTGAAATGGATGGATGGATGGATGGACGGACGGACGGACGGATATTTTGATCCATTGGGGCTGGGGGGGTGCAGGCGTCCCTGATTACTGTCCCGCCCCCAGTCTTGGCGTTCCCGGCCTACCTGTTGGGCATCTCCCAGAGCGGCCTGAAGGAGAAGCTGACCAGCCGCACCATGGACAGCAAGTGGGGCGGCAAGCTTGAGAGCATCCTGGTCACCCTCAACGCAGAGCAGGCCGCCTTCACGCGGGACGCCCTCTCCAAGGCTCTGCACGCCCGCCTCTTCGACTACCTCGTGGACGTGAGTCACATGACCTCCTCAGCCTGGAATGTTCATTTCTTATCTCTGACGAGATCAGATGTCAGTTACCCTGCAGCCATAATATTCGTCTGCATTTTCATATTCGGTAATTATATTATGTATTAGATAATTATATATTGCATCTATTTTTCGATTGTTTATCCAGTACAGGATCACAAAGAACCTGGGGCCTTCCTTTAAAGCACGAGACATATGATTTTTGTCCAGATTAACTTACATATCTTGCAATTTTGTATGTTTTTTGTCTAGGCAGTTGCATTTTTAAGGAATAAGACTTAATTAGCTTGCTAAATGTTGCAACAGTATGGTTTAAACAAAGGACCGCCAACTTTGGTCAGCTGGCACGACTGAGATTTTCAATTCGAGACAAGTCTGCACACACACGCACACGCATTTACATGTATGTAACAGTTTTATTACCTCATAAATAAACTGTAGGGTTTGCAAACTACCCCAATGCATTTGACGCAGGTAATTTTAATTTTAAAATGGAATAACATAGATTTGCTGTAAGATTTCTTGCATGTGTGAGAGTCTGAAAGCGTGAGAGTTGGCAGCCATGAAAACCTGTAATATTCTGGTTTCAAGTCCAGTTCCTAAACACTTGGATATTGCATGACTCAGAAAAGAAAAATCCTCATGTGTTTCCTTTACATTTCCTTTACATTTTGTGGTGCTCGTAGTTTGTTTGTGTCTCTCAGCACTTGCTGTTGCTGCCCTTCCTGCTTAGGCCATTAACAGAGCTGTGCAGAAGGATTACGAGGAGCTCAATATTGGCGTGCTGGACATCTACGGCTTTGAAATCTTCCAGGTGGGCGAGAACGAGCCAGGGAACGTACTGACAAGTATTTCCTTGTGGGCGTTTAAAAAGGAGATGTTTTGTTCTGTCTTATTTTGTCTTCTGTAGCGAGCATTTGTTTGGTGCCGACCCACAACAAAATTCAAATCTTAGTCTGAAAATGGCTTTATGATAACAAGTTCTTTGCAGGCTTCTGGGTAAAATTGTTTGTGAAGCAATTCTTAGTGAACATGCTCGCATTTTACGCCCTGCTTAGAAAAACGGCTTCGAGCAGTTCTGCATCAACTTTGTCAATGAGAAGCTTCAGCAGATCTTCATCGAGCTGACACTCAAAGCTGAACAGGTAGACGGGCGTTTACCACTTCCAGGTTCCTGTCCAATGCCACTATATCTCTCCTCATACTTTAAAATATGCTGGAGCCCCAGCATTCAGTTCAGTTCAGTTCAGTTCAATTTTATTTATATAGCACATTTAACAACAACCGTGGTTGACCAAAGTGCTTAACAATATCTGACACTCACACATAAACTAGCCAAAAACAATTATTATAAGTCACGATATCTCAACTCAGCATTGTGATGGAGCTCTGCAGTGACTCTCTGCTCCTGATTTGTGGGTAATGCCATTTTAGGAGGAGTATGTCCAAGAGGGCATCAAGTGGACCCCCATTGAGTACTTCAACAACAAAGTGGTTTGTGACCTCATTGAGTCCAAAGTGGTGAGTCTGGGCCCCTCAAATATACATTATGGTGTAGATGGTACGTAACCTTTCATGAATATACCCTCATCATCAATAGATGTTTCATCAATCCGTTTTATTCTCCAGTTCTATTTTTGCGACACAAATTCCTTGCTAAAATAGCATCTCTTTTTTAAGCTTATACATCTTTAGATGTGGATGTACATGTGACACGTGAACTACTGGCAGATTTGGATGAACCGTGTGGGTCTCCTTTGCCCCCTGCTAAGAATCCCCCGGGAATCATGAGCATTCTGGATGACGTTTGTGCCACCACGCACGCCAAGGGCGAGGGATCTGACCAGATGCTGCTGCAGAAGCTGCAGATACAGATCGGCGCCCACGACCACTTCAACAGCTGGAACAAAGGCTTCATGCTGCACCACTATGCTGGCAAGGCAGGGGGCGCTATAGATTACTCTTCCTGGTAGATTCAGTATGTCTTCCAGGCAGAATCTGCCAACATACCCCCTGGGATCCCTTAGGGTTTTTTTTACATTAAAGTTAATTAACTTCGCTTGATTTAATTTATTATTTGTATGACTAAAATCACATTATTGGTAAAGTGGTGGGGATACCCCCAATACATTTTAGTTATGTATGAACATGAATTATGGCTATTTGTTTTTGGATAATTTCAGAAAAATGTTAAATGCTAATTTGTTTAACTGGGTAAGTATTTATAGAGGATGGATGGATGGATGGATGGATAGATATTTTGTTCCATTGAGCTCCTAATTAATAGGCCTTAACTGTGCTGTTGCATTAAAATAATCAAGCAATTCAAATAATGTTAAACAGAAATTGGTTTGATTTTCAGTGGTTAGGTGAGGATTAATTTAAATTCAATTTGTCTGATCTGCTTCATGAATAAGGTAAACATTCGCATAGCTTTCAGTTTTCCTAACTGCGCAATAGCGATGTAATAATTGAAATAATAAGCAAGCATTCATGGATACACACACAGACACAGACACACACAGACCACACACACACACACACACACACACACACAGACACACAGACCACACACACAGACCACAGACACACAGACACACACACGATTAAGCCATAGAAACTCCTCTGACAGCAGTGTGTTGACAGACCGGTGTGTAACAGTGAACAGGGAGACGTGTCGCTGCCCTTGATCCCTGTGCTCTGCATTGCTTTGCTTTCAAGCTTTAGTTGTTTCTGCCATGTGGCTCCCAGCTGTCCCGGGAGGGGGGCGACGGGGAGGGGGGGGTTCAGTGGAAGAGTTTCAACATTTAATGAACCGTGTGCCGACCTCCCTTCCTGCAGAAATAGCCTTTTATAGGCACTTTCATGAGCCTAAATGCAGGCAGACCATAGAAATATTTATTGTAGCAGTAATGACATGAAATGCAGTGAGATGAAATGAAACCCAAGTTCTCATTGTAGCAGTAGGCCTCCACTCCAGGCTGTCTGGTCCTGCTCATAAATAATTCTTGTGGGAGAGAACAAGATCAAATCAATACACTTAGTTGCTTTGTTGCTTTTCTAGCTGCAGTATTTCTTATAAGCCAGATATTTTCCTGGTTCATTTCAGGTTATGTACCCTGGTGCAGCTTGAATTGACCTTGTTTGTGTTTCTGGTCCATGTTTTTAAACATAGACTTACACGAATAGTTTGTTCACATAACTGGTGGTCCTGCCTAGCTAAATGAACAGGAGACAATGGGTCATGTGGGCGGAAGAATGTACTTTTCGAGCAAGCAGATGAAGTGGTGAGTCAGGGGCAGTGTGTGGTGCAGTGGGCTAAGCCTCTGTGCTTGTGATTGGAAAGTCACTGGTTCAAGCCTGGCCTTAGCCCGCCTGTGAGCCTTTGAGCAAAGCCCCTAACCCCCAGCTCTCTGATCGCTGCTATGGTTGGCCGACCTTCACAGCCAGCTTGCCCTCACCTATGGAGGGGGGGCATAAAGAGATTCCCCCCCAAGGATCAATAAAAGTATCAATTAAATATAATGGATCACATTCACTGAGTACTAATAACTGGTGGTTGTCATTTAAAATCCTGCTGTCCGCAGGTGCTTTACGACACCAGCGGCTTCTGCGAGAGGAACAGGGACGTGCTGTTCAGCGACATCATCGAGCTGATGCAGAGCAGTGAATTGTGGGTGATTCGCCTTTATTGTTGGAGTTGCATGTTCACTAACCAGATGTTTTTTATTATTTAATCACATAATAATGGCTGATCACTTCACAGGTTTTACAGAGAATTGCCCAAAACATGAAGCATTTATGACCAAACTATGACCAACTATGACAGAACTACATCAAATTATTCTTTTTTGTTACTTTTACACATCTTTTGTTACATTCAAGGGCCTGTTTATGCCTTGGTCTCCAGGCTCAAATGATTTAAACATACAGACTCACAGGGTGTCTTCCGGCATTTGCTTAATTCTGCGAAAAATGTTGTAGATTTATTGGTTTCATAACAAAAGTCTATTGACAAGCAATGTTTAACATATCTGTACATATCGTTCACACAGACATTTACTTTTTATCATTAAAGAAGTTCATAAAATGTTGGCTACTGGGATCACTTGGTAGCAGAGGTTCAGCCTTATTTGTTACACAAGCTACTGTTTTAAGAAGGTAGCAAGGAGCTATTTCTATTGTATCATGAATTTTTGACTGATTCATTCAATTCTGTTCTTGCCATTTTGCTGTTAATTGCAAGTGTAGTCACTGGCTCCCAGAGGGATATTAAACACAAATATTTGGCGTTCTTCATTTTTGCAAATGTGTTACTAATTAAACAGCACCAAAGAAGTTTTTAACTCAAAACAGCTTCTAGGACTGTTATGTGGGATTCAATTTATTACTACTTGAAATGAATGTTTTACTTAAAACTACTGGTTATTTCTAATGTGATATTTTTTGTACACAAATTACGTAATGATTTTGTTATAAGGACCAATAAATTTGCAATATTTTTACTGGATTAAGCAAGCGTGCCAATACTTTCTATGACCACTGTAACTTTATGTTTCTGCACAAGGTTTTTGTCTTGATCCAACACTGTACAGTTAGCATGTCTAAACAAATGCATAACAACACCACCTCATTCTCTCACTGTCCTTCTGCTCTGCCCAGTTCTTTCATCGGAGACCTATTTCCCGAGAACCTGGTTGTTGAAAAGAAGGGCCGGCCCTCCACCGCCAGCAACAAGATCAAAGTAAGGGCAGGTGGGGGGGCAGAGAGAGGGCCGGAGAGCGAGGAGGTGTGGGTGCTGTATCAGCAGCGGGTCCCGGCCTGTAAAATGATACTCACCTGTATCGAGAGCTGCTTCTTCACCTTAAACAGGTCACGTCCTTAAACAGAGCTCTCAGAGCACCGGCCTGCCAGATGGTTTTAACAGCCTGTAAAATGTTTAATTCATTACTAAATCTGGCCTGCAGGTCAACCTTTAGTTTTCCACAGAGAATTAACCCCACCCACTGATCAAGTTTCCTCACTCACACAACCCCATGATTAGCAGATTATTGACTATTGTCTTCCTAAGCCTCCAGGTAGTAATGGGTAAACAAAGCTTAATTTGCTATATTTTGACCCCACTAGATGGCATGGTTTGAGCCCTTCTTTGAACAGAGAGCACCATCTAGTGGAGTCAGAAAATACAGCAAGTGGTTCATGAAGCTTCATTTAGCCATCACTGCATGTGTTAGTGATATCCATACTATGTCTTTGATAATCCAAGAATTACGGTTTGATTTCTTCTGGTCTTCAGTTCTGCCAGTAGCACTTCTGTGGGGGTGTTTGCAGAACTGCATTTGACCCTCCCATGCATCCGTGCAGAAACAAGCCAACCACCTGGTGCAGAAGCTGATGAGATGCTGCCCCCACTATGTGCGCTGCATCAAGCCCAACGAGACCAAGCGGCCACGCGACTGGGAGGAAGCCCGGGTCCACCACCAGGTGGAGTACCTGGGCCTCTGCGAGAACATCCGCGTGCGCCGGGCCGGATACGCCTACCGCCGGACATTTGGGAAGTTCCTGCAAAGGTGGGCATCCTACAGGGCGTATGGAGGGCGGAGCGGGCTCTACCTGAATTCCTGATCCCTTGTTCTGGGTACGACTGGATATTTTATAAGGAACATGGTCCCTGTTCATCATCAGTAACAGTCTCATATTGAAACTGCCAGCATTTCTGTGAAGCTGGTCTAAAGTGCTGATGTAGTTTTGGAAAAAGCTGAGGGTATGTAGCTGAGGTTCATGGAGGTACAGAACATGACGATCAGAGGTGAGGACGGCAAGACACATATGGGTAATAAGCAGTGTCCCCCCCCCAGGTACGCTATTCTGACGAAGGAAACCTGGCCAAAATGGCACGGGGAACAAAGGAAGGGGGTTCTGCATGTACTGCGCTCCGTCAACATGGAGCAGGACCAGTACCAGCTGGGCCAGAGCAAAGTGTTCATCAAGGCGCCTGAATCAGTGAGCTCACTACATTCCTCTCCTTTTACTCATTGCCTCCCTCTAATAATCATACCTGTTGGGCACTAAAAAAGTGTAAAGCCTCTCTGAATAGCCCACAGTATATGTATGTGTGTGTGTGTGTGTGTGTGTGTGTGTGTGTGTGTACGCACCCTGCAATGGACTGGCATCCCACTCTGAATGTTTCCCAGCCTTCTGCCCTGTGCTACAATGGGCCTCTATGATGCTGGCCATATAAGTGATGGATGGATGGAAGGATGGATGAATGGATGGATTCTTTCACATGATTTTGAACACCTCAGCTTCCTTGCAGCAAGAAACTACAATATGAGGCACCTAAGGGTCAATGTCCTTCTGATAGAGATGATTTCCAAAGTTTGAAGGAGGTTTAAAGATTCATACAACCTGCCTAGTGATCCCATAACCAATTTCTTCATTCAGCAGATGTTGATATCCAAAGCAACATACAGTAGATAGAAGGCTATGGTCCTCCAACTGTGAAATCACTCTGCCAACTCTGTGAATTGAGCCAGCAACCCTTCCAATCACAGACACCACAGCCTCACCCACTGACCCCCACAACATCCCCACACCGGTGCAGCAATGCATGCAAGGCCATTTCAAGAGTTCATTCAATGCCCTTATGGCCACTAGCCTTGTATTATGATATATAAATCCAGCACATCATGGATTTTTAACCTAATGAATCCATCTGACCAGTTGTTCTTGCTGGAGGAGATGAGGGAAAGGAGATACGATGGCTATGCTCGGGTCATCCAGAAAGCTTGGCGCAAGCACAACGCTGTCCGCAAATGTGTCCGTCTGAGGAACGAAGGTGAGAGATTTAGCTTGTGCTCAGGGGTCTGTATGGTGCTCAGGGGTCCATATGGTGCTCAGAGCTTCATACTGAGTTGACTTGCATTCTCATGTTAAGCTATATCTTGCCCTTGGTTCCCCGCAGCCTCGGATATCCTGCTGAACAAGAAGGAGAGGCGACGGAACAGCATCAACCGCAACTTTGCCGGCGACTACATTGGCACCGACAGCCGGCCTGAGATCCGGCAATTCGTGGGACGCAGTGAGAGGATCGATTTCGCAGACGTGGTGGTCAAGTACGACCGAAGGTTCAGGGTGAGGGATCTGAAACAGGTTGATTAAGGGAAAAAAAGAGTTGATCTAGGGATGGAAATTGCAATTGTATCTGGAACGGAATAAAATGGCTGAGACGTTTACCTGCTAACCTTTCTTTCCTTCATTGTACAGTCAGTGAAGCGCGACCTCATCTTGACCCAAAGATTCCTTTACGTGATTGGACGAGAGAAGCTGAAGCAGGGTCCAGAGAAGGGCCAGATCCGGGAGGTTCTGAAGCGGAAGATACAAGTGGAGAAGGTCCAGTCCATTGCCCTCAGGTACCACGGTCTGATTACGACAAACATGTTTTTATTGACCATGAATTGATTGAACCACATAAAGATCCTTTAATTTGTTTTCCTGCTCTGGAAGTTCTTAGTAATTCTTTCTAAGTAAAGGAGCTGGTTAGATACTCCAGACTCATCTGACGTGACTGTCAGTTATTGTTTCTATGTGTCAGAAGTTGTATGTGTCACACACTGTTTCTGGGATATCATCAGTTCCTCTTTGGTTTTCCTTCATTTCACTCTTCTTCCATATCAGCACTCTCCAGGATGATTTCTTCATCCTGCACGAGGACGAATACGACAGCATGCTGCAGTGCATCTTCAAGACGGAGTTCCTGGGCCTCTTGTGTAAGCGATACGAGGAGAAGACCCACAGGAAGCTGCCACTGATGTTCCACAACCAGTGAGCGAGGCCTTCAAGTCGTCCAGTGCATTCCTGACTCCCGTTCATGTGGCCTCTACCTGTCTGGTGTTACACGCATTTCATACTGCATAGCATTAGTCTCAGCTGTCCACTCTGGGTCCCTGATACTATAAGATGTTCTTGAATTGTTGCCATCATGAGTTGTGGGCATCTCTGTTTCTCAGCTACTATCTTCTTCCATGTTAGTTTAGCTTTAGCCAGGAACCACATTTCAGATTTTGTTGACTTTTGTTTTGTAAACTTGGGCATTGGTTGTACAAACTCATGCATTCAGCTCAGGAAAAAATTAAGCAGCTCAGCGTAGTCTTCTGCCAGCAGAAGAAGGATTAAACCAGGTTTTAAAATACAGATTTGTTTAAGAATATTGAGTGGTCTCTTAACTTTTTCCAGGGCTGTATAGCCTTCATGAAAGGACACTTTTATTAATATTATGTCTCTCCCTTTATCCCAAAGGCTTGAATTTAAAGTGAAAAAATCTGGCTGGGGTCCGTTTGGGGGGGTTGGTATAAGGCAGATCCAGTTCAAAGTGGGCCATGGAGACCAAGCTGTCCTGAAAACAAGCAGCAAGCTCCTCACTGTCACCATTGGACCAGGACTTCCCAAGAACTCCAGTGAGTAGAGAGCATTGCGTGACGTAGATGTGCCATCAGCTCATGGACCCTAACAGCAACATTATATTTTCATCACAATTTAGTAAAATGCAGAATAGATGTACGAGGAAAGGTCTTTACCCAGAACTCGGCGATAGCCAGACCAAGTGGCTCATCTTTCATTAAAATGAAAAAACGGTAAAGATTAATATTTAAGTCTCATGAAATATAACAAACTGCTATTTCCATAGGTGGCAGACAGAAACGAGCCTCTCCAAAGAGAACCAGCATTCTACTGTAGCTTTCGTGGGACAAGAAAATAATTATTAAAAATGGCCCTTGCTGACACGATGAAGCTCAGATTTGGCCCTCCAGGGGAAATATTTTTCCAGGCCCGACCTAAACTTTCTGAATCCTTTTGCAAAATATTGTCACTCACAGGACCCACCCGCCTGGACAACAGGAAGAGCCTCCATTTGGGAATGCAGCCGCCAGGCCTGGGCTGCCTGTCACAAGGTCAGCGTGTGATGTAACATGTTTACGCTCGTCCATATCGGCAGGCGAGAACATCGAAAGCGAACTGAAGCCCTTCAAATAGGGCTGGGCTAGAAAATCATCAGTATGAGGACCGCATGCCTTATATTTCTTGCAAAAGTATGAGGAATATGGACTATAATATAGGTCGTGTCTTCCTGAGGTATGGCGAGTCATTCTTGTCTTCTGTAGTGGACATTCTGTTTTTGCTCATATCTCTCACACTGTACATGCCTCCCTATTAAGTCCTGTTGTTCCCTGAAGAGGACAGTTAGGGCTTTCGGATGACATCACATGTGTGGGGGTGTGCTTTTTACCATCCCAACAATTTATGCTAAAATTTAAAATTAAAATACATTTGTTTTCCCTGTATATCAGGAGAATATAGTATGTTTTATTTTTTTTTTAGTGAAACAACTTTTTAAAATAAATAGAATGGATAGTCATGATTAATTTCCCTTGCCTTATCATTATATAGATATGAAAAATGTTCAGCATGTAGGTTTTTATTCCACCATTCTCTTTCTGACTGCTCTTATTCTAAAGGAGCCCCCAGGAATGGCGGAAGGGGTCAGTCAGTACCTCAGCAAGGCCCCAAGTCCTCGGCCAGGAGATCCCTGCTGTGCCAGCAGAGCAGCATGGATCAGCCCAGTCTACCCAAGCACCGTGGGCCACATCCAGGCAAGGCCCAGAGCCAGGCACAAGCAGACATGGACTTCCTGAGCGTCCCTGAGCAAGGGTTTGCTGGGTAAGTCATTGGTATGGCTATCATGAAAATATCTGACCAGGGTCCAAACCATGCTTACAGAGACAAATGGATGAAGATGCAGTGTGGTTCCTAACAGAACCATGACTGTAGAGTCATTGGTCTTAATGAGTGATTTTCCAGGTAGAACTTAATTACTGAAGTCTTGGGGAATGAGGGCTAGGGACTTTCACAGGACATTCTGGGGACATTTGAAATACTCACAGAAGATTCACAGGTCTGACTTGCCAAACTGTGCATCAGTGTAAGCAAATCCTGTGTTGTATTGCTTTTGTAAGTAATAGATTAAATTCAGAAATATGAAGGACATTTCTGACAGGTGTCTTGCTAGCAGACATTTCCAGTTTGATGACGCTGATGAAACTAATGACATGTGGTGTGGCTGGACATGCCACAAACAAACTGAAGACAACAATCATTGGTCATATTGGGCTAAAAATATGGTCTAACGTCTATTCTGAATTACTGAGTGACATTTTGAATTATTGAGAGAAAAAGAGAAAACAGAGAAGACAAAGCACTGCTGCAGCAAGGCGTGAATAGGTGTCTGCTTTTACATCACCAATCACGTAAAAGCCCAGACATGTCTGGTCCGCTTGGCAGGATTAATTTGGCACATCTGTACCAGTTATACGGGAATCTACACCCAACACACAGCTTTGACTGTTGAAAAGAAGTTGCATGATGCTACACAGGTTGTAACCCAACGCCTCTCTCTTTGCCACCCCATGCAAAATATCTTTGGATCCGCCCTCCTACCACAAGCTGGTCGACCCCTCAACGAGGCCCTTAACCCCCGATTGTTGTGTGTGTGTCTCACAGAGAGCGAGACACGATAGGTGAAAAGACAATTTCCCCACATGGATCAATAAAGTATATCTGTTCTACAGAAAAAATGCTAAGAAAAACAGAGGACTCCTCTCGTTTGTATAGTTCTTATGTTCTTAGGACCGGCAGTCCATTTGCAAAAAAGCACTTCTATGCATTGTATTGCATTTCAAGGTCAGAAAAAAAATATGAAACAAAACCTTATGTCTGCAATACACTTTCTATACCAGATTAGTTTGACGCCAGGAAGATAAAGATGAGTGCAGGGCTCCTTTTCACCTAGCGAGCCCTTACTGTCCCAGGCCACATGTCCAAAAATCACCCTGCTTTGTCTGTTTATAGCTCTCCTAATAAAAGGGTAAACTGACTCACCCTTGAGGCATGTGGATATATCAGACTGGCATCCAAAGCCCATTTCCTCCCTTTCCATAAAAGCCTGTGCCGACGATCCACGGTGCAGAAGCCTGTGACAGGAGTGACACAGGCTAAGTCGACACCAAAGGCCAAGCCGCCCGCCCTGCGCTGCCGGGCCCTGTGGGCCTTTGAGGCCCAGGACACGGACGAGCTCAGCTTCAGTGTGGCCGACGTCATTGACCTCCTTGCTGAAGGTAGGGGAACTACTAATCTCACGGCAGTTTTATTTACACAAAAATGTTCTGAGAGCCAAAGGACAAATGATTGGTTCAGAGAATCAGATTGTAGAGAGGTGGGTCCAAGCAATTAGAGGTGGCAGGACCAATCAATCAGATCTCTTGATCCCGCCTCCTCTAGTTGCTTGGGTCCACCTCTTCTACAATCTGATTGGTTATCATTCTGAACCAATGATTTTTCCTTCTGCCCTCAGAACATTTTTGTGTAAGTAAAAGTCCCACGAGCAACTGCCTCCCACCAATGTTTCATGCCAAACACTGGTGTTATCTGTGCCAGTTTGTCCATACAACTCACTGCCCATTTCAACAACCATGTTTTTTAACCATTTTTAAACTATTTTTGATAATATTTTTCTGTCATGTCCATGCCTCAGTATGGTTGTCTTTCATGTTCATATTTATATTATATTTATCACGGTTTTCTTGCACAATGACCAATGAGATCATTATTGCATTTCAGTGTATGACCCATAGATCAAATAGCTGAAGACAATAAAGATATTTTGAGTTACCCCCTGCTTCAGTGAACGTGGAATCCAGGCCTGTCTCTTTATGAACATGAGCATTAGCTTGTCATCTCTGCCTTTGTCTCTCAGATCCTTCTGGCTGGTGGTTTGGCCATCTAAGGGGCAAAGAAGGCTTGTTTCCTGGGAACTATGTGGCAAAGATATAGAGCCAGAGGTGCGGCGGATGCTTGTGATGTGTTTAAAGTGGAACTCTTAGTGGCTGCCTGTCGCTGTGAGGTGGTGAAACGGCCGTTGATCTCCCAGTTTTTTTTTTTTTTGTGAAAAATAATGCCGCTGAAGTATAATTGTGGTTTTTGTATTTTGAACTTTTCTAACTATTGTTAAACTTTAAAAATCAAAATAAACACAGAAACTGACAAAGTGTCATTGTTTTGCCTTTTCTTGCTCATTTAAACTAACATGCATCTTAGACAAAAACACAACTGGGCAGTATAATTTATATTTTTATTAAGGTGTGTTACAAATGAAATGCAAAGCAACGTGTGATGTTAAGACATTTACACCCAAGGAGGTCCAGTTAAGAGGGAACTCCCTGCTTTGTCTGCTAAAACACCCTGCTGTCAATGACACATTTTAAAGAACTGAGTGCTGGCTTCCCACAAATTAAAAAATTATTTCTAAATCCCCTGGCTTAAGTGTCATGTTTTGGTTAAACTCAATATATAACCAGTCACAGCAAGAGCACTTGGACACCTTTACCTAAATGGTGCCCCTGTGTGAGGCTGCAGTATAGAGGCATCATACACCACAGGCCTTACAGAAGCATATATTAGTTCATTCCATGCCCTGGGTTTTATTGTTCAAGCTGCATTTGACAGGAATGTTCCAGAGAAGTTCTTAAAGGATTATGCATAGATACACTGCTCTCCTTTCACAAAAAGGACACATTCACCAGATTTACCACTATTAATTTAACGATCTAAACATCTGTATGTATTCACATTCAGCTATATAAGGACAAATTAAGAACTTCCATTCCTATCAGAATTTAGTAGAGGTTACTTTGGGTTGTTGGCCAGCAATGGAAGGAATGACCCAATTACCACGCTTTCCACAAGTCGGGCTCCTGCCATACAGGAACCGAAAGCCACAACTGAACAAGAATGAAATGCTTGTCCAGTGAGGTCTGGCTCCTGAGCAGAGCAGTTCTCTTGACTGAACGGAACAAACTAAAAATGAAGAACACCTCGTGAAATGACTAAATGCCTACAGATACAACTCTCATAACCCTTCATTGGGTTGCCAATTAATTATAAGATCCTTGTGCCAGATCAAACCAACTGCCCTTAAATTTTAACCCACCACCAACTATAATACGCATTACATCTACCTTGATTCATACACCTGCCCCTGCTGTGTGTGGACTGAAGAATCTCTTTACTCAACATCGACACTCCCTGCGTTAGGTTCCGGTTTGAGTCCTCATTGCCAGCAGAATTAGGCGGATTGGCATGGAGGAGCAGTGAGTATAGGAGTGCGTGGCTGTATTCTCCCATCTTAGTCAGTGGGTGGGTCAGTGTGCACCTCCTCCTGGGAAAGCCTGGCACCTCCTGCCTCTAGGAGGCTCCGGAGTTCAGGAGTAGGACGGCAGAAAGGGAGCACAGCGGGTCCAGAGGCAGGAGAGGCCACCTAGATTATGGCACAATCTGATCCCTCCTTCTTCTCCGCACGCCGCCTCTGGCTGCCCTGCTGAGCTGCTGCCTGACCTCTGACCTGGAAGGAAAAGCAGCACCGTTCTGCTGTCAGGCGCCAAAGGGCCAGCCAAAGTTTTTACCCATGAGCTGTGGCACAAAGACAGGACGAGAAATAAATCTTCGGCGTGTGTTGCCTGGTACCTGAGGTGCTGTGGGCTGGCCGGGTGACAGCTGCTGCTGCTGCTGCTGCTGCTGATACTCTTCCTGCTGCAGCTGCTGGGCCAGTTCCAGATCGCTGAGGGGCCCTGGGGGCGCCCCCTGCTGCTGCTGAAGAGACATCGCCACCAGGTAGTCCTGATACACAAACACAGAGGCGCTACCATTTACTTCAGCAGTATCTTGGTAACACTTTACTTGACAATGGACAAATAATATAGTAATTACTCAGTTACTGAAGCGCAACTCATGAACAAATACAGTCACTACATGAGAAGTCGATTCCTTAATGATAAACATGAAATCAGTATGTTATTTGTATCATTCATTATTTGTTCCTTCAGTAGTTCACAAAGGTTTACAGTATTAAATATAAAAACTGATTGAGATCAAACGTGCATCACAATTCATTAATGATGAATTAACATGAGATCAGTATGTAACCAAGACAGTTAGTGGTTATTCAATGCATAACTAATAGCATAATACTATACTGTTTGTGCATCAAGTAAAGTGCTACTATTATCTTTATATAGCATTAAGTGTTTCAACTACACAATCAGCGCTTGCAGCGTGAGGCATGCAGTACAGAAGAAAGGAAGTCAGGGTGGGTCCTGTCAGTCTGAGCTACACGGGAGGGGGCATGACCTGGTCGATCTGCCTCTGTTGCTGTTGAGGTGACGGTGTGGGGGCCACCAATGGGGCGGCCCTTTGGGGCGGATGGCACAGGCGGAATTCCGAGTCGCAGAAGTTTCCGTCGCCTTCCACGTTGTGCAGGCTCTCCCAGACCACTGTCTCCTCCTGCAGGAAGCCTTGGTCCGTCACCAGCAGGTACAGGTGGCCCTGAGTTTGGGGCAAAGGTCAAAACCGGCGCTAATCAGTGCAGAGTCTAGAAAACCACAGCTTCTACATAAATAAGCATAAAGCAGAGAATACTCCAAACACCAAGTCTTCTGTGGCCCCTCACTGTCCAATCGCTTGTGTCCAAACCACTCATCAATCCATTCATCCGCAACACTCCACCTCACCACAAGATACATGAGTTCTTTCTACCGATAAATCATTTATTTAGCTTCCTGTTACTTTATCTACTGTGGCTTACTACATACTACAATCTTTATGACTGGAAATTGGCAATAATATAGCCTGCCAAGACCTATCCCTGTGTATTTGTGGACTGTGTTTACCTTGTGCTTGATCATGGTGCTGAAGTGGTTGTTCCTGAAGAACACAGAGAGCTCCCCCTCTTTGGCAGTGGTGTTGAGCTCACACAGGCCGTGGTATGACAGCTGGGTGGCCGTGGACTCCAGAAACTGCTCTGCCATTAGGCCTACGAGGAAAGGCAGGAGATGGCAGCATGAAGAGGGAGGGATAGCGGCAGTCGTAGGAGGCAGAGCGTGGCACAGGTAAATGACATGCAAGCCTGTGGGAGAGATTAGCGCCAAAGGCCACAAACTGTAGTGCTTCCCAGTTCAATTACAAACATTTCTATAACTGCCAATGCAGACGACCCCCTGTGCAGTCAGTCATAAAATACAGCAACAAATTAACAGCATCATAATCAGTGCATGTAAACAGGACCAGATATCTGGCACAGAAATGCAGAATACATTTACATTATTTTATATGTAGTTATTTGGCATACTCTTTTATCCAATGCAACATACATTTTTTGAAAAAAAATTATAATAGATACTTTATTGATCGCTGTGGGGAAACTCTCTTTATCCCTTCCCCAACTCGCTCTCTGTAGGTGAGAGCAGCTGGCTGTGAAGGGCAGCCACCCACAGCAACACCCAGGGAGCTGAGGGTTAAGGGCCTTGCTCCTGGACCCACAAACGTGCCGAAGCCTGGCTCGAACCTGCAACCTTCTGATCATAAGCACAGAGGCATAGTCCACTGAGCCACATGCTGCAGGTTACGAAAATCCCTGGAGGAATCGGGGGTTAAGGGCCTTGCTCAAGGGCCCAATGATGACATCACTCTGCCAACCCTGTGATTGGAATTGGTAACCTTCCAGTCACAGGCCAGCAACACGACATGCCAACGTCTGTACCTTCGCTGATGCGGCTGCTGTCTGGCGAGTGCTTGTAGTCGATGATCTTCTCCACCAGCTGGTTGTAGCTCAGTTTGCCCACCGCTGCAACCATCTCAGGGCTCTGGTGGCCGATGGGTTTAAGAGGGCAATTATCAATACAGACCCAGGAATAAGTTATTGTGGCAACCATGTTGGAATAAAACTAGGCTGAAATTTACAAAAAGCATACAAGGCTGACCAGAAGTGGAAAGTTCAGATCCAGAATGTAAAAATCCAGACCAAGATTTTGTTTCAACCAACCAGTTGTGTACTCTATCATTGGGTGCATTCGACTTGGGCTTAGGTCTGTCTGCAGCTGACGTGATGTGGAGCGAGATCTGCCGGCGGCTGCAGGTGGAGTATAAACTGACTGCAGCCAAGTCTTCTGCAGCCAACTTCTACTCCTCGTAGTCTGCGAGACCTGACTGCAATGGCAGCACTGCCAGAAGGGTGTAGATAAAACTATACAAATATCACCTGCATGCACATTACTACTTGTACAATAACCAACTCCTGATCCAAACTGTTAGCAGTGAAAAAATAACCTATTGTGTATAGTGGCCCTGTGTAAAAAGATAGCTGCCAGGGAAAATATCAAATACATTTATTTCAAGGATTCAAAGTTTTTATTGTCATGTACAGAGTACAATGCAATTATTACTTGAATGCCTTCTTCACAGACTAGATGATTAAACAAATAAAGCAGCGCAACATTACAGTAACTAACAATAAATAAACAACACTTACGTGTACTATTAGAGCATTTATTTAACTTCTTTGAACTTTGTTTTACCAGTTAAATTAACTGAAAACCAGTTCTCACTGTTTTCCGTGCTTTTCGGGAGAAATAGCAGATAACGGATCGGAAATTCCTGGGATACAAACGTCGTGCGTGACTAAAATCTTCAGCCAATAAGGGCAAAGTTGTGTCGTCACGGAGGCAGCTGCCAGAAGAGAGGTGCTGCACGATCTGTCTTAAGTCATCTTGCTCTCGCAAGGTTTTTGTACCATGTGACTTGGTGACGTGTATTGATGGTTTAAGTCGGATAAAAAAAAATCTAACCATGATGCATTGCGTCAGGACCAGAATGCATTGCTTTAAGCCAGCGCTGTAAGCGGCTGCATGAAGTTGAACGCACCC